GCCTTTGATTCAATCTTCAGGAATATTCTATGGGCTAAATTAAGAGGTTCTACTACCTGTATTGACAAACGCCTCTTATTTTTTATTACAGCTCTACATAAAAATACTACAATATGAGTTAAAAACAATTCACAAGGCTATCTTACAGCTCTTACTAAGACTGAGAAAGGTGTAAAACAAGGATGTATACTGTCTCCCTTGTTATTCAACCTTTATATAAATGACCTAGCAACTCAAATCTTCCAGAACATCATCCCCCTAAATTGGCAAGCAAACACATTGGTATACTATTGTATGCAGACAATGCCATGCTTCTCTCAAGGACACCGATAGAACTGGACACAATACTCCAGGTGAGGTCTGACCAAAGCAGAATGGAGTGGTACTATCACTTCCCTTGATCTAGACACTATGCTCCTATTGATGCAACCAAGAATTGTATTGACTTTCTTGGCAGCCGCATCACACTGCTGATTCATGTTCAGTTTGTGGTCTACCAAGACTCCTAGACCCCTTTCACAGGTACTGTTGTCTAGCCAGGTGTCTTCCATCCTATATCTGTGCAGGTCATTTTTTCTGCCTAGCTGTAGGACCTGACATTTCTCCCTGTTGAAATTCATTTTGTTAGTTTTGGCTCTGATCTGTCAAGGTCATTTTGAATTTTAATCCTGTCCTCTGGAGAATTAGCAACCCCTCCCAATTTGAAATCATCTGATTTTTAAGCTAGCAACCATTTGTGACTAAGATTGACATCAACAGATTTATACTGGCACAATTCTTCAATCAGATTCTGGCCAACACATAGGCTAGCTACATTTTATTGAATGACAGCATATCAGGACTATCTGTTGTGCTTCACATTTCTCTGGTGTAACAGATTCGCAGAATATTCTGTTAGAAATACTGTATTTCACAATCCCTTCACATTGATACAATGAGTGGTGTAAGTTACATTAACAATGTTAGCAAACATTTTTCCTCCTCTGTGTACTACTTGTAAGTAAAGTTTTATTCAGACTCTAGACAACTCTTGCTGCTGTTAAATTAGTATCATCTTTACAACTCCTCTTTCTTTTCTGTCACATTGTGAACTACCTTCTTAAATATATTATTACATCCAATAGAATATTTTCCATAACTTTATTCACATAAATATATCAAAATAATTATTACAGTACTTAAAATGCATTTCTGAACCAGGATCCCCTGATGTTTTTAACACCATCCTTCTAGATGATTTTGTGTCAGATTTTAACTTGCATAATTTTAGAATGCTGCATTCTCAAGAGTGTTAAATAGCAACAGTTAAATACTTCAGTCCACTTTTCCCCCCCTTGGACACTGCTGAGGATAGAGTCAGGTAGAAATGGCATGGGGCAGTTAAACTCCTGTGACAACATGGCAGATTTACTGTGAAGACTAGACAGTAAATCTAGATGGGTGGTATATAAGTTTAATAAATAAAATAAATAAGTCTGGGATACACTATTCTGAATAGCTCTGCCTCTACTATATTATGTAGATTATATAGACTATCATTCTCTTCCTAGACATGATTCAAAGGTTTTTTCCTGACATTTAAAGTTTTACATTGCTTGATACTGGGTGTTTTAAGATCATATTTTATATGTTAAAGATCTGCTTCTGAAACCTTTTCTCCAAGTGCCTTTGCATTCAGAAGATCAGGTGGGTGCTACTGCAGAAAGGACAAAAGGTACTCATGAAAAGAAATATCTATTTTTGGTAACATGCCTCCAG